GGGTTTGAAGAAACTAGAGGAGAAGGTGAGACCTGATCGCAAGGATATCTGAAAAAAAAAAAATTGGGAAGAAGAAGATTGGTGTTTTTTAAGCCAAACTTGAGAACCTTAACTATGGATGACAGCAAAGCTTGGTAAGGAAATTTGTTCCTTGGAGTATTTGAAAATGAGTAGAAATTGAAGGATAATTTTGTGATTGTGTGTGTTATGTTCAAGAACCCATATGAAAGAGTTAAAGAAAATAGATTTTCGGTTTTCTTAATTGATTTTACAGGTAAGGTAAGGGTTGTTGATGGATTTTATGGTAGGAGTTTAAACCAAAAAGTGTTGGGGAATGGAAGAAAGATGAATATGCTTGAGATTTCTCTGAGATGCGTTAATAATTGTAAAATGGTAAAGGAATTGGTACTGAAAAGAGAGTAGTGGAATAAAAAGAAATAAAACAGAGAAGAAGGGAGAAAGAAAAGAAGAAAATTCGTAGGATGAAGAAGAAGAGGATGAGTGGGTTAAGGAAGAAGATGATGAATAGTAGAGAAGAGAGAATGAGTGGTTTTCAATTAGATAAAAAAAAAGAGAAAAAGGACAATGTTGGAGAAATGGCTATTCCCATCAAAAATTAGTGTAGAAAGAGAAATTGATTGTGGGATGTGGGTCCCACTTGTAAGATAGGAGAGAGAGAAGAAGTGATGGTTTTTAATGAAGAAAGAGAAGGAATCACAAAATTGGATTTATGAGATAATTTGAAAATAATGCGATTTAAATTGGAATTAGTTTATGTTGGAATTAAGAGAAATAATTTGGTATTGATTGATATTTCAAGTCAAGCAGGAATTGGAACAGCGTACGACCGAGTTTAAAGGATTTGTGAGTGGTTACTTTACTAAACGTTTTCTAGTATCTAATATTGTAGAATTTCTGAGAAATTATATATATTATGTAAGATTTAGCATTTCTACTGATAATGAAAGTAAATATGTTTGTTCAAGAAATTAGAAATGTTTCTTAGAATTTAGACATGCTTTATGGTTCTAATGAAATGTTCGAGAAATTTATGAAATGTTATTTAGAAAGAGATTTCAGAAAATGATATTAGAATTTCATGAAATGTTCTTAGAAGGAAGATTTTAGAAATGATTTGAGAAAGAAAGAAAAGTTCTTAGAAAGAAGAAAAGAAGAATTTTAGAACAGTTTATGAGATTAAGAAGGAAGTTTTCAAACCACCATGTTATTGTAGGCAGGTGATTACCTGTATGCTATAAGAATGTGTTTCTATAGTATACCCAGAAACAGAAGGTCTTTAGGACCATTTTACTCCACGTGTTGAGAAAATTATTATACTATGCGTATTGAGATTACTCTATGCTAGTAGACCAGAATTATTCTGCTGTGTGTATTAAGATTACTCTACGCTAGTAGACCAGAATAGAATGTGGATACATGTGTGGCGTTGAGTTTTATCTATCTGTTTTATGATTGAAGAAGAATGTTTTATATGATTTAGAATGTGTTTTAGAGCAGGTTGAGAAGCTGGCGTAACTAGGTCACAGGGGATGCAGGGGAATGTTGGGGCGATTAGGGCCAAATCCAGGTTCCAAATCCTGGCCGAATCCTGGACTTGGGAGCGTTATCTTTTCAATTTGCCTAGAAAGAAAATTGTTGTTATAAGTTTTATCTTGAGAAAACTTACTGAGTTTTTAGTTACTGAGTTTTATGAGATTTAAATGAGAAAGTTTGTTACTTCAGTTTTATGAAGTTTATTTTAAGAGTTGAATTTCAGTTGTTTATGAAAGAAGTTTTACGAGAATATTTTCTTATTAACCTACCACTCACTGAGCTTCCTAGCTCACTGTTTATGTTTTGTTTTCCCCCCAGGCTGTACATGAGTATCTGAGTTTCAAGAAGAATTTAGTTCAGCTTCTGCCACCTAGAGTAGTTGAGAATTTGCATATCACTTTGTACATACATGTAGTTGTTGTAAAGCTGTAATCGCCCTGTTGATAGAAAAAAATGTATAGAATGGATGTATGATTGGTTGTTCTGTAAAGATTGTTATTTTATTATGCATCCATTTAGAAGTTGTTAGTCAAAGTTCAGGTCAAAGATAAGAAGAAGTTGATCATTGACTTTGGAGTTAGTCGGGATCTGTGGTCGGCGCGACTCGTTTTAGGACAAGTAGGTGTTTTGGGACGGGTCGTGTCAATTCTCTTAGCAGTGGATTATGTATCCAAATGAGTGAAAGTTATAGCATGCGCGAACTATGATACTAAGACAGTTCTGAAGTTCATGCACAGGAATATCTTCACTAGATTTGGAATCCCCAGGGTGCTCATCAGTGATGAAGGTTCTCATTTTGTCAATAAGGTCATGGCTACACTACTGGCGAAGTACAATGTTAAACACAAGGTATCCACTGCTTATCATCCTCAAACAAATGGACAAGCAAAGGTATCAAACCGAGAAATGAAAAGCATTCTAAAAAAAGTGGTGAACACCAATAGAAGAGATTGGTCTTTTAAGTTGGACGATGCACTGTGGGCATACAAAACAGCATACAAAACTCCAATAGGAACATCACCCTATAAGCTAGTTTTTAGCAAGGCTTGTCATTTACCGTTACAGTTGGAAAAGAGAGCATTTTTGGGCAGTCAAGCAGTTGAATATGGATCTAACAACAGCAAGAGAAGTAAAGAAACATCAACTTCTAGAACTAGATGAATTCAGAAGGGAAGCTTATAAAAATGCTAAAATTTACAAGGAAAAGACCAAGGTTTGGCATGACAGAAAGATAAAGCAGAGGACATTTGAGCCAGGGCAAAGAGTTCTACTTTTCAACTCAAGGCTCAAATTGTTTCTTGGGAAACTGAAATCAAGATGGTCAAGCTCGTTCACAGTAATGCTTGTGTATCCCCAAGGAGTGATAATTGTGAGGGGGGACAATTCTGAAAGGGAATTCACGGTAAATGGTCAAAGATTGAAGCACTATTGGGGAGAAGAGATGCTGAGGCAGATGGATACTCACCAACCGAAAACAGCCTGAGTAAAAGAAAGACATAATAAAAGGGGAAGAATTATTGAATATTTTTATTCTACTGTTCTTCTCCTGTTTTAGTGTGCAGATTAATTTTTGTTGTATATTGCTAGAAAAGTTATTTTATAGTATTCTGTTTTGTTTTAAACAGGGAAACAAACGCTGAGTCAGCAGAGAAAGTGAATGCTCAGGGAATGAAGTGATCAATGATGATGAAGGAAGCTCCAACAATGTTTGAGCATTGTTTAAAGGTATAAGAAGCGGGTAGGTTGATTTTTGAAGAAGAATGAAGTAGTTGGAGGAGAGAGAAAAGCAGTTATCCTGACCTTTAAGGAAACTGTCAGAGGAAGAAAGTGGGACCAAGTGAGGCTGAAAATTTCGCTAACCACCAATTTTATTTCCCTCCTTTTTTTTAGAATACCAATTTAAGGAAAAGACAAAACAGGAGGATTAAAATTCGAAAAAGAGGGAAATGTGTCTAAGCGGGATAGTTGAAAAGGATATTGGAATTTAATTGCAAAAGATTTTGTTGGTTTATTTAGGAAAGAGAAGGTCCTTTTGCCATCCCCACTCCGAATTTCGAAACCTTAATTTCCCCTTTCTTTTCATTCTTCTTCTTCTAAATTCTTTCTTTCGCCCTACTCCAACTCTGTCCAAAACCCACACCTTCCTACAGCGGAAATATTGCTGTAGCAACAGCATTCGTGAATGATTGACTTGACGTTAATGATCGATATCTGTGGACACAAAAATATTCTATAGTGAGAAGAATGCAGCTATGGGTTTTTAGTGGAGTAACCTGCAGTTAACGTATGTTGATTAAGGTGGTTAATAAGTTTAACCAATTAATCTCGTAACGTTGGAGCTTTTAATCTATAGGTTCATTAAGTCTCCCGCTAGCTCACAACGGGTAAAACAAGGATCAAAGTTTTTTTTGAAAGAATTTGAGTTGTTCAATTTAAATGAGGGATTGTAGGTTAATGGTATAAGATACAATTAACATAATTTATATAGATACATTATAATATAATATGTTAATTATGAATGACTTTCATAATTAAACTATATATTATGAGAGTTATATTTGAATAAGATTCAAATAATAATGAATATGAATTGGACTCATATTAAAACTATAGGTTAAAATTAATGTGAATGAGATTCACATTAGATTATGAAAATGATTTACATTTGAATATGATTCAAATAAAACTTAAATTAAATATATTATATTTAATAATAATTATTATTATTATTTATTAATTATTTTTATAATTAATTAATTAGTTAATTAATAATACTTAATTTAATTTAATTAATTACTGTTAATTAATTAACAATTCACTCCCTTGCATTTTGCAAGGAAGTAGGAAGTTGGTGGATGGGAGGTTGTTTTCTCCCCGCTCCTCCCCCTCTCTTTAAAATGGAAGGAGCTTCATTTTGGCAAAGGTTGTTGATTTTCTCTTCAAAGCTCTCTCTTGTAAATCAAATTCCCTTCGTTTCAAAAAGACGGTCCTCAGAAACTAATCCTTGCCTAGAGAATAGCGGGGAAAATCCTTTGGTGGTGTCAAGATTCGTCATCGTCATTTTTAAATAACGGTCTTCAAAGGTAGGTTCTTCTCTTGTTCTTTGCATTGCTTTCTCTTCTTAGTAGTTTTTTCTAAAACAAAATCGAAGCACAAGCGTTCACGCGCTTCTGCTGTGGGATTCGATCACTTCATTTGAAACTTACATCCAATAAATGTTCACCTAACAACATTCAATGAATAAGATTTTCATGTCTCTTTCAACTCTATATAATGTACAAGTCTATCAAGTATCTTCTATTCTCCACCGAAGATCCTTCTCTGCATTACACCATATAAATAAACAAAATGTCTTATGAGATTACTAGTGCAAATAGAATGCAAATTCACAAGGGGAAAGTCTGTATGAAGATACAACTAAGGCTGAGTGGGAAGATGAGAGGAAACGACATCGCAAGAATAGGCATCTATTGTTCTCAGCACAATCTCATTTGCAAAGGAAAAAATCTCAGATTAAGTATTTGGAACATCTTGTAAAGAAAGAGAGTGAACAGGTAGATCGGTCCGAGGAGGAGAAGCGGGAACTATAAGATAGAGTTGAGTGTTGGAGTCACATTTGAGGGCATTGTGGTCGTAGGTTTGCTCGGTTTCATTACCTCTATATATATTGGTTTTTCTTATGTAGCTAAGTAATATTTTTTGGGTCATGTCGACTAATGGATTTAAAACCGTAAAATCATATCGTTATCTAGTCAAAAAACTTCAAACAGAAAATACCAATGATTACATGTGATTCGAACATGGCTATAATTACATGTGATTCGAACATGGCTATGGAAATATAATCAAACAAATAAATAATTTAAACAATCAAAAGGAATAACAACAATGAAAGTCATGCCTTGGTAAAATTTCTCACTCTCGCAGCCTCTCGCTCTCGCTCTCTCTTTCTGTCTCTTCCATGCTTATCGCTCTCGCTCCCACTCTGTTTCACGCATTCCATCTATCTTGCTATGGCATTCCATCTCCGTCAACTTCTCCCTCGATCTATTAACAATTCAAACAAACCCGTTAACAACCCACGTATAATAAACAAATAAACATCAGAAGAGACCCAACACAAGCCTAGTGTTAAAAGACTAGATTTTGAACAACCCACCTAAATATCATACAGAAGATTAAAAATCCAACCAAGGGCGAGTCAGATAGAAACAATATAGAGAAGACAGAGAGAGATGAAATAATGGTGGAGAGAAGAAAGGGACAGGAAGAACACTGTGACAAAGAAAATGGTGAAAAAATAAAGAGAAGCAAAAGGATAAGAGAGAGAAGATAGAGACAATACAAAGAGAGAGAGAGAAAATGCAGTGCTTTTCAAATAAGGGAGGGAAATCTAAAAAATTAGGGAGGGACAAGGACGGTCATTTGGTATTCATGGTGATGTCAGCAAAAGATTAAAAAACATGAGTTTTTGAAAAAAAAAAGTGAGTAAAAATCAATCCTGCTTTAAGGGCTATTTAGTCCAAAAACCCGTAAAAAATGTCAATTTCGCTGAGATGACGTAGAGTAATTTTTTAAAAAGAATTTGTAGTATAACACTTGGAGATGGAGGATGAATCTCACAATCTAGACCGGAGATATATGCGAATTACTGCTATGCTCGTTTTGGTCCAACAAAAAAAACTTATTTTAAAAATTTGAGTATTTTTTAAATGTTGGAAGACATGTCGATATTTCGATCGACATGTCGTCATTTCGAGGTACTTAACACATTACACGCATAGAAAAAATAGATTTTCTCTCAATATCACGAAATTTCCTAATATCATCGACATTTTGCAACATATCTCCATTTTATCGAGATATTCAAAATATCGAACAAAAATATTTTATACTGAAACAAATATTTTACAAAGATTCAGCCCAATCCCTACTATAAAGCCCAACCAACTTGTTAGGCCCAACCAGTGTTCAAAATGTCGATGTCGATGAAAATGTCGAGGTCCTAATTTTACGGACATGTCGATGTCAATGGATATTTCGGGAAAAATAATGGAATTTGTGGAAATTGATGGAAATTTTTTTGAATTAGCAAATAAAACTTGAATTGTAGCTTAATTAGCCTATAATTGATCACCTTTAACCATTAAATGTAAGAATATGACCATTTTACTTATGAAAATGTCGATGTCGATGGAAATATCGAAAAAAGATTTTTTCGATTAATGAAGATTGATGAAAATTATTTGAATATGTAAAGTAAACTTTAATTGTAAACTTTTGACTGCTTCTTTAGTGTTTTTCATAATAGGATTCATTTGGAAATGAGATAATTACCGACTTGGTTTCCAAACACATTTCTAAATTCTAATTAACTTGTACCTGTTTACCTTTTACCTACTTCTCTTTTCAAATTTGAATTTACACCTTTTTCAAACACATTTTCAAATCAATCATCAATCCAACTTTCCAATCAAATTTACACAATTTTCAAACACGTCAACCTCGTAATTGTGTCATTCATCCAAATTATCTACCAATGAGATCCATATGTGTTTCATATTCTACTCATTTGAGTAACTACCTTCAAAACTTTCAGTCTAGACCAAGGAGAACTATTGTAATTTATATGAAAGTTATCAAGATAGTACACTAGATCCTCTGAGATCATCTTTTTGGTATTAATTAAGTTACCTATTCTACTTCAGGTTTCATCACTATTTGTATATAATAATATTTTATTTTTTAAAAATTCTAAGATTATTTCAATCTTTATATATGTCAATATTTCACATATATTTTTGAATTGTGTAACTAAGGACTAGATTGGATTAGGAATTATCAATAAAGCAAATTCCAAATCTTATTAGTTATACTTTATATCGTATTAAAATTCGAATGTTTCATTGAACAGACTAAGATTACAATCATCGAGGTTGTGAGAGTGGCATAGTAAGAAGAGGATGCAAATAAAATAACCTTAAATAAGAAGAGGAAAAAAAAAGACATGTCGACATTTGTCGACATGTCGACGACATAGGGGGAAAATCGATTTTCCCCCCTATGTCGATGTCGACATGCTCGACAGTCGACATATCCAACGACATGTCGACATATCCCTCGATATTTTGAACCCTGGACCCAACCAAGGTCTACAAAGCTGGAATTGTTTATCTATACTATATTAAAAAGTAAGGATTTGTGAAAAACATTTTTAGAGTATCTTACGTACCCTTCTAAATTAAACTAAATTACATAAAATGATGTTTCATAATAATTGATACCCTATCATTGAAAATTATAATTAAATTAATTTGTGCGTTGAAAATTATAATTAATTCATAATCTTATAACCACAACGATTTTATTAGAGTATCCGTTTCAATTATCTTTCAAATTCTTTTTATAAAAGATGTTTCAAATTCTTATAACGCACAGAATCCAATTTTTTCAACTCTATAAATTGCGGTGAAGAGAAGAGATAGGTACACATGACACTAAAATTGGTTCTAACTAAGTTCGTTGTGGTTATTTCCACGAACAAGATGGAAATCAACGGAAGGAGGCAGAAGTCGTACAAGCAAAGAAGCAATTTCAAAATTGAATTTCCAAAATCTCGACTCCATTGTTTTCATTCTTAAACATAGTTTAACTGCTCATAGTCCTCGCTCGATTGTTGTTCTCCTTCTTTCTCCTAGATTAATTTCGATTCGAGATGTGCAACGTCAGGAAGGTCTGTAATAGCAGAAAACCAACCTAAGTCCTATTTTGTTTTTTAGTGATGGATGAAAGAGTCCTAAAATTAGGATTTTCAAAATATGTAACATTCTATGTAATAAAAGCTCTTCATTTTTTTTAAATAAAAATGTCATTAAACCAGTGACATTTTAGTTATCTTGAATTACGTGTAATGTTATTCTTTTTCTCAGTTTTTTTTTTAAATACATATACAATGTCATTTAAATAATAAAATTTAATTTAATATATATTTATTCATTCTCCATCATATTTATATAATTATAAAAGAACTGCCATCTAAAAACTAAAAGCAGAAATTTTAATTCTTTATAAACTTTTATTTTAAGAAGAGTTACTTCTGTATTGTGAGTCTATATAACTAAAGTTATTTACGAAAATAATTTCACATGATAGGTTTATTATTTTATATTTTTAACAATAACAATACTCATGTATTAACATATTATCATTTTAATCTCGATTTAAACATCCTAGCCAAATTTTAAGATAAAAAAACATATATATTTTTAAATTATAAAAATTATTATACAAACATTTCAAATTTAAAGGAAAAGAATTTTCAATGACTCTACTTTGACATGATAAAAAAAATTAAATAAATAAAATATCGGTGTTTATCTTCCTCAATATATTTTTTCCATTAACATTTATATCTATATCTATATCTATACTATATTAAAATGAGAGGATCTTGAGAAAACATTTTTTTGACATTTTTAAAAATTTACAAAACATTTCACTTACATTTAATCGCTATTAATATAACTTATATATTTAATTTTGAGTCATGAAGTGTAATTTGAAAAGTTAGAATAGTAAAATACCTTTAATTATATTATAATTAATCTAAGGATACCAAAAATCTTGAAATCTCAAATATATATACATATACATGTATATTTACTTTACACTTATTTATTGCTTTAAAAGTTATTTCGATGGTACGAGTTGAAGTAAAATTTTGAATATAAAACTTTTACCTTTTAATTTCTAAAAATTTAAAGATTTTATATTTAACTATAATTAATTATAGAATTTTATATATTTTAGAATTTGAAGGAGCTTTAGAGCTCTTACATTCTTTCTTATTATAAAAATGAGTTATTCCACAATTTTCCCACTAACCATACTAGTTGTATCTTATTTTCTCTACTTTTATTGTCTCATTTCTTTCCCTTTCCAAATTTCCTAAAAATCAAAAGCAACTCAAATTGTTATCTAATATATTAGGAGAACATCAAATATATGAAAATCTATATAATAAATTATCTTGCAATTATAAAGTAAGAAGTATACCTATTTTACTTTTAAAAAAAATACATACATTTTGGAGGAAGTTTACAATATGTACATTTTTTTTTTGTTTATTATAATTTTTTTACTGTTATAGAAAGAAAAATAGGGAAAGGACGAAGCGACCGAAGGGGAGTAGATGAGATAATGAGAGCAAAGATCCCTAAAAAATTCAGACTCCCTACTATAAGGTATTATGACGGTTCAACAGATCCTATCGACTATCTGTGTATATATATAGGGAATGGAGGGACCTCTACGGAATAACAGAAGCAATCAGGTACAGGGTAGGAGTCGACCTGTGACCTACCTCTTATTGTAAAATAAAAATCAAAGGAGAGTCTTGGAGAATATGTGCCTCGCTTCAACGAGGAAAGATTATCAGGACATTAATAAAGTTGGGAAGGCGTTAATTCATAGGGTAGAGGTTGGTTCCATTCCTCAACCTCTACGACGTGGGACAAGTCGAAAAGATAATTTTGTTTTTTTTTCTATTTCTTTTACTACAAATAATAATTTTTGTAACTTCTTTATTTTTACCTACTTTTATTTTCAAATTTAAATATATTTCTAAATCGATCATTAGTTTTCAATCAAATTTACAAAAGATAATGCACTAGATCATCCGAAGTCATCTTTTTTATATTAAATTTATTTGTTCTATTTCATATATCACCGTATATGATACATTTTATTTTTACAGTTTTCTATGATTGTTTCATCCTTTAAACACAGATACTATATATATATATAGATATATATATAAATGAAATTTAATTTAATAATTTAAATAATTCCCATTATACATGATTTTGCTTTGACGTTTTTATCGCAACGACATTTCCATAAGTATATTACTTATATATTTAGATATGATGGTTGAAAAAGATCCATTTTTGACTAATTATGCTACAATTAAAATCTTATTTATTAATTCAAAAAATTTGTATCAATATCGTCATTTTTTTTCAAAATATCGATCGACATCGACATATCTGTAAAATTGAAACCTCGACATTTCCATCCACGTCCGAAACTGTGTTATATATTTCATCACTCTCGGGTCATTCACTAAAAAAAACCCGTGCAACACAAGTAATAAACCTACTTTGGAACAAAGACAATCGGCTTTTTCTCTTTTTTTTTTTCTCTCTTTCCATTGAATTCTGAGTAGATTCCCAATTATGGTTGTGTTTTTTAGTTTAAACAAGTATGGATTTGGTTATGTGAATTTTGAAAGGTTGTACTTGATAGAAATTTGAGGGGAGTGGCATGCTGTCATCCTTCAACTTGACACAAATTAGTAAGAATGCATCACAAATTTGGAAATCTCAAATTGTTCTGTTCGGATCGCATTGGTTTTATTGATCTAATCTTCTCTTTTTAAAATTGATTTCATTTTTTCTGTCACTCATCGCTGAAGAGAAGAGAAGCGAAGATCATTCGCTAATTCTTTCAGAACTATCCATCTGATCTGATTATCCATGGCAGACACGCCCCAGAAGATCATCATCGACACCGACCCTGGCATCGGTATTTCCATTTCTACTTCCAATACTTTTACGAATACACCATCCTTGGCGTTTCTTCTCTCTTAAATTTGACCGAGATTTAAATTGCTTGCCTCTATTCATATTGGATTTTACGAATTTATCAGTAAAGCAACTGGGGTTTTACTCAACAGAAGTGGGTCGATCCCGTTGGACAGTAATTTTACTGATGAATTTCTATTTCTCCAGATGATGCTATGGCAATTTTTCTGGCTTTACAATCGCCAGAAGTAGAGGTGCTTGGATTAACGACTATTTTTGGTAATGTTTATACTACTCTTTCCACAAGAAATGCCTTGCATTTGGTGAGTAATTGATGAATAGATTATGATAATTGCTCTTTAATCTACCTATGCATAAGACTGTTTATCTCCTACTTTTTCAGTTCCCATTTGTTAATTATCTGATATTAATTGTTTTTTTTTTTAAAGAGAGATTAATCATTTGTTTGTTCATCAGTTGGAGATTGCTGGTAGGACTGACATCCCAGTAGCTGAAGGATCGCATGTCACGATAACTGTAAATTCATTTTCGATATTGAGTTGCGCTCTCTTATATGCTACTTGCTTAGTAGAGTTTTGACTGTTATCAGTTTCAATAGGACTTACCTCTGTCAAGCTGCTTGCTATAACCTGCCCATTCTTCATTGTTTTTGTCCAACACTAAACTTGAAAGATAAATCTGTGGACATACAAATAGTTAAATATCTAAGTTGGCGGGACTGTTAAGATCTTAATTTATTTATGGAAATGTCGATATTGATGTAATTTTGGGAAAAAGAATGGAAATCATATAAACTTATACAAAGTCGCTTGGATTAATAAATAAAAAAAATTAGATTATGAACAACACTATTAGTATGTAATTTATATATATATATATATACATTTGTTAGTACAGTATGTAATTTATGTAGCTTGATAGTTTTCCATATCTCATTTGATATTTTCATGACTTTTTGAGAAATAGACATTGTCTCTTCATATCAATATTGAATCCTGTGAAAATATTGATATGTCATGGAAATTTTGCGCATATATAATCTGTGAAAGTGTTTGGAAACCAAATTTGTGGTTACAATAGAATAGCACATATCACTCTGTACATAATACTAAGCATATTACTAATGTCAATACCCAATTATAATTATCTTTTTCACATGTTGGTGTGGCACTGTCAATGCAAAAATCCAACTCATGGATCATTGAATTTTCTCTCTTTTTTCTTTTTCTTTCATGATGTTTGTTAACTTAATATCTTATTTCTATGAAGAATGGAACAAAACTTCGCGTTGCTGATTTTGTCCATGGGATCGATGGACTTGGCAACCAAAATTTTCCACCTCCAAAAGGGAAGCCAATTGAGCAGGCAGCAGCTGCATTTCTTGTTGAACAGGCAAATCTTTACCCTGGAAAGGTCACAGTGGTGGCGCTAGGACCACTTACAAATATTGCATTGGTCGGATTCTAAATCCCTTGACAAAACTTTTCACATTATTACAGTACAATTTACCTGAATAAGTTTGATATAGGCTTTGAAACTAGATCCTGCATTTCAAAAGAAAGTCGGGAAGATTATTATCCTTGGTGGTGCATTTTTCGTAAATGGAAATGTAAATGCTGCTGCAGAAGCCAATGTAAGTTCCTTTTACCTTTTTAATACCGCAACAGGACTTGAGAGTTTATTGTCTGCTTCCTCTGTCACCATTTTTCATTTTGAAACCGTTTTTTTTCTACCTAGTGCTTCCTACTGTTATATGTATTCTTATGATAAGGACATCCATGAAACTACCAAAGAGATTTATGGATTTGGATAGACCAATAGTCCACAGCTGTAAAACAGAGGAGATTATACTGCTCTTTTATTAGCTTGCATTGAAATTGAAGAAAGTATCTAAAATCCTTCATAGAAAGCCAAAGAGAAGTTATGAAATGGATTTTTTTCCCAACAAGGTCACCATTAAAAATTCATCGCTCAAAATTTTTAATTTTATTCTCTTCCAAATTGCCTCCAAAAATGCCTCTAGCTGCAGTAACTTTACAAAGTCATAAAAGGTTGTTAGCCCTGTAGGGATTTGAATAAAGAACCCCTCAAATGTATGAAGAAAAGCTGAAACGATAAGTTTGCACTGTATGAAGATGATATATTTGACCCCTTTTCCCTTTGCCAAACAGCTCACCATGTATACTTTAAGAGAAATGTAGAAGTTCTTATTTTGGATGCCATTTTGAACGTATTTTCTCTAAAAACTGCCACTCCTTAGAGTATTTGATGATTGGGCATTCAAGGCTACCTTGAATATGTTGGCCTTTGGGGCAAAGATTTTGTCACGGACTTCTAATGTAAGGCCTGTATTATAAATGAAATGGATGTTATTCATGTTATGTAACTTACATTGTATAAGTACTTTCTCCTTTCTAGATTTAGTGTAAAAGTCCTTTAATAAAATTAATTTTTATATGAATCAATGTTGCAAATAATTTATTATTTAACATATTTTTTTAACAAAGCACCAAAATAAATTACCTTATTTTTTATGAGGAATTTCATGTTGAAGAATATACAGCAGCCAGATGGATTTACATACTGAATTTCAAATGATTTATTTTAATTTCTTATTTAGATTGGAATTTTTATTTGTATGATTCTGTAAGTGGTCTCTAAGAGTAAGAATTATAGGTCGATTTACTCTGATCAAATTCCTGGTACTAAGGTAGGATTTATTCTGACTGAAATCTTTGTACTAATAGCATTGAGCATATGGAGGTAACTTTTGAAACTTATTCTTTAGGTACTGATACCACAACTAATACTGATCCTTCTATTGCAATTAAAAATGAAAAAGATGTTCAAGTGTATATATTCATTAAACTCATGGTATTACCCCTATCCTACAACAGCGTACCCATCTTCCTTAAAAAGTTTCCTTTTGCACCTAAACTATATTAGTTTTCTGTATTCTATCACAGAAAGGGAAGGGAGAGAGGCCATGAAAGTTAAAATGGAAGCTTTGGAGAAAAACAGAATTTTGAACTGGTAGAAAGAGAATAACCAAGAAAAGAATGTGTAGAATTTTTGAGATATCATAAAATAGATGGTTTTTGAATCTCGAGTGGAAAAGTCCAAATTGTGGAGGATATCTGTTTAAAGAAATCCCAGAGATGAGAGGATGGGGGATTTTGTGAATTATTGAAACTGCTCGAAGGAAATGGTGTGGTGGATATAGGTTTGAGAGAGAATACTTGAGAATGGTAAATTTCAAGTACCTCTTTTATTCTTTTATCTTTAAATACTATTCTAGTTATTTGGTATCTATCATATTGATCATTGAAAGTAGATATAAGAGGGTGGATATGGCTGGATTTTCAAGTAATTCTTTGTGCAAGGAAGTAGCAGGTGGCATTACATGGAAAAAGAGCTTTGTTTCAGCCTTGTGGAAATTTAAATGTCCCAGAAAAGTTAATATTATGGTCTGATTAGCCTTTATGGAAGGATTTAATTTGGCTAAAACACTTCGTGATAAGGGAAAAGTTCTTTGGCAGACTTATTTTTTTGCTATAATGTGGGATTTATGGATTGAGAGGAATGGTAGAATTTTTAAAAGGGTGGAGAGGTCTTGGGAAGAGGTGTGTGGAATATTGTTAGGATTAATATCTCTTTGTGGGCCTAAGTTGCTAAACTGTTTTGTAATTATTAGTTGGGACTTATTTTTTTGGATTGAAGTCCGTTTGCTAGTCAAAACTTCTTTTGAGGAGTTGGTTTTTTGTATGCCTTTATATTTTCTTCACCTCCTTGACGAAATGTTGGTTACCAAAAAAATATTTGGCTAAAAGGCTTCGTAAAAGACGGCCTTAGTCTCTGTTTTCAGGACTATAAAAACATGAATCATTTAATTTTACTCGGAAAAAACAACATTTTTATGCCACTCTGCTGTGGGGGTTTGAGGAAGAAAGCTAAAATTCTTTGGATTAACTTGGTTAAAGCTACTTTATGGGGGGTTTTTGGAAAAAAGAAAGCAGAGAATATTTGATGAAAAGCAAGCTTTGTGAGAAGAGATATTTGAAATAATTAAACATTAAGCGGTTTCTTGGTGTATAAAATATTCATTTGAATTCTTTTTGGGAAGCTTCTTTGTAATGGTTTTCAATTCTACAATACTTTGATCTTATATTTGTTGGGAAAGGCTTCTGGTAATGTTATAGGATGGTGTGTGCTAATTGTTTGTAATTAGGAAATTTCAAGTGGCGGGATCTAACTGTGACATATTCTTAAAATAACATTTCACTATTCAATGATAAGTTATTTTGTTTGAAAAAGAAGGCAGTTTATAGATTGGAGAATTACCTAGAGTTTGGTTTAGAAGGTTCATTCATCCAAACAAAATAAAGGGAATCTACCCGTTGTTAATCAAGCATTTTTATGTTCGGGGAGTACTTTTGTTTCCAATTCATTTTTGAAGTTTGGCTGTGGAGAAATATTGAGAAATATTTTTTTTTTTGGGACAGGCATAAAATCTCATTTGGAATTTCTTGACAAACCAGATAATATCAGAAACTTCCTGTTACTATTTTATCTGTTTCTAAAATTAGTTTTCACATGGTGAAGCTTATAATGAGGTTATCTTTGGCATTCCATGAAAGATTACATTTGCCATTTGGTACTCCTGATATTTAGACGAAGCAACTTTAATATAAAGGATTTAATTTCAGATCTTCTAACCCTTAAGTTTGAATACTTAGATATTTGGGGATCCAGAAGCTGCAGATATGGTATTCACAAGTGGCGCAAACGTGGTAGTAGTGGGGATAAATGTCACACATCAAGTTGTCTTGACTGGTAATTTCTTTTTAATTATACGGAACTCCCATGTTCCACGACTATAACTTAATAGCATTTTGTTTCACAAAGTGATGTTTATTTTCCCTTGAATTTGGCCATGCTGTGTGTTCACGAAACATTTTTAGAGGACGATCGTGACAAGTTGGCAAGATCGGATGGGAAATTTGCCAAGTATCTCTGCAAAATTTTAGACGTTTATTTCTCTTACCACAGGGATGCGTATGAGACAAAAGGTGAATCTATTGAACAAATAGGGTCCATAAGAAGCCCACAGATTCAGCTGCACGTAGTGTGACTTATATTATTGTTGCTTGCTGCTGATATGCATGTAGGAGTTTATCTCCATGACCCGGCCACCGTACTTGCAGCCGTGGACTCCTCACTTTTCACATACACAGAGGGCGTAGTTCGAGTTCAGACGACAGGCATCACAAGAGGACTCACAATTTTGTATAACAATCAGAAAAGGTAAATGTGTGGAGTTAGCTATTTCTCCAATTTACTATTACTTATCAAATGCTTTGTCCTATATTATAAGTAGGTAACTGGTTATCCTTTGAACACCAGGTTTGGTGAAGTGAGTGAATGGTGCGATAAACCCACTGTGAAGGTAGCAGTCACAGTCGATGCCCCGGCCATTTTGAAATTGGTAATGGACCGACTTATGGACTCGTAGAGTATGTAAGAGTTCGAATAAGAGATTCCATATCCAGAAATAATGTTGTGTATTTTATGACTCAAGCTTAGACAAGTTCTGGTTTCATGGTCCATTGAACAATTATAGCTGTCTCGCAGTTGCAGTACAACCCCCATACAAATAAAATGTTTCTTGGACGTCTGCTGGTCTCAGTGAATCATCCTTCTATTGTTTTTCATCTGTAATGGATGCAATCTTTTCTGATGCAGAGAATAGGTTGATGTAGAAGTGATTTTTGGCTAAACTTTAAAGTTTGTAAAGAAGTGTCCTAATATATTTACAAACTTTGAACAGGTTTTAACTGTTAAGATTTGACCAGAAATTCAGCCTGAAAAAAAAAATGAAAATTCCAAGTTCTTATTATTTAAGCCTTCAATTTACATTTCTGCTACAAAGGTGAGTGTTAAAAAGGACATAATTTTACATTGTAGTATATTTCTTTTCTTTTCTTTTCTCCTAAAGTCAACCCTTGTATTTTATCTTTGTAAAAAAAAAAAAAAAAACCTTCTACTTTGTAGGTTTACTTCTTGTCTTTCTTTCATCATTTATTAAGTAGTCAATGGCTATATTTTTTTCTAACCAGAAACAAACTTTTCCAAATTGATAATATGAAAAAAAAGAAAAAAGTTAAAAGATACAATGTCTTAAAGGAAGCGAAAAAATGAAGAAAAGCAACCAAATATAGGAACCAAAATACAAGGAAATGTCAAAAAGCTAAAAGAACACCTGCTGAAAAAACTTTAAACAACAAAGCTTGCCAATCCAAAATGACTATCGAGGAAACCAAAACAACCGTCCTTAAAGCTTACCTATTCAGTGATTGGAACTAGGGTAATGCTTACATCTTCAAAATATTTAAAAAAAAAAACTTTGATTATCAAAACAAGAAGCCTTTTCGACTACCAAAGTGTTTATTTGACTGCTCATTTGTTGATTTAATGATACTATGGCTGAGAGGTGAGTTACTTTTTTGTATCTCTCCTCTTTTCTTCATTAACCTTAGTGAGTGCTTCTTTTTTCCAAATAAAAAGAAGGAAGGGGAGGAATAAAACTCATTAGCGGCAGTAAATCAAGGTTAAAACTAGGTTTGCTATCAACCAGATCGTCAGTGAGTGCTTCTTTTTTCTGAAATAGAAAGAACTTTTAGGCTACCCTCTAGATTTTCATTCAAAGCTTCAGATTCATATTTTCTATTACCAGATGAAAACCCTTAATGAGACTCTTCATCTGACAATAACAAATGAAGCCTTTGAACATCTAGCACATTTTGAAGATCTTGCAACCAATATGTTACTGGAAATAATTCTCACTTGATTACACAAATGATTGATACAAGGCTATATAAATAGCAGTCACAAAGAATAAACTAAAAAGAAATTCTTGTCTATTAGGATAAGGAAATACTTACCTATTAGAACAAGAAAACCCTTTCTTTAAAATAAAATAAACTATAATTTAACACTCCCCCTCAAGCTGTTGAATAAATATTTTCCATTCCCAGCTTGTTAACCAAATGCTCAAAGTTGTTGTTGTTCAATCCTTTTGTAAGAATATCTGCTATTTGATTATTTGTTGGTACAAATGGAATACATATGAGGCCGCTATCTAACTTCTCTTTTATGAAGTGTCTATCAACTTCAACATGCTTGGTTCTATCATGTTGAACCAGATTATGTGCAATACTGATGGCAGACTTGTTATCACAATAAAGTTTCATAGGCCCTTCCCATGAAATCCTCAAATCTTCTAAAATTATCTTTATCCAGAGTAATTCACATATACCTAATGCCATTGCTCTAAATTCTGCTTCTGAACTTGATCTTGCAACTACATTATGCTTTTTGCTTCTCCAGTCAGTAAGTTTCCACCTAAGGAAGTACTATAGCCAGAAGTTGATTTTCTATCATCTATTAATCCTGCATAATCTGCATCTGTATAAACTTCTAGATTGAGTTTATCGCTTTTCTTAAATAGTAATCCTCTTCCAATAGAGTTCTTCAAATAGTGAAGTATTCGATATACTGCTTGAAGGTGAACTTCTTTTGGACTATGCATAAATTGACTCACCACTCCTACAACATACGCAATATCTGGTCTTGTATGAGAAAGATATATTAATTTTCCAACTAACCTCCGGTAAGTTTCCTTATTTACTGGGGAACTCTTTTTAGGTGCACACAGTCTATGGTTTTGATCAATTGGTGTTCCCATTGGTCTGCTACCAAGCTTTCCTGTTTCAGTAAGTAAGTCAATCACATATTTCTGTTGTGATAAGAATATGCATTGTTTAGAATAAGCTACTTCTATCACAAGAAAATATTTCAGTCTTCCCAGTTCTTTAACTTCAAACTCTTTGATTAAACAATTTATCAGTTTATCTTGCTCATTATTATCATTGCCAGTGACGATAATATCGTCCACATAAACAATCAATGTTGTTACTCCCCTTGTAGCAGAATGTTTTATAAACAATTTATGATCTCCTTGACTTTGTTTATAGCCGATCTTTCTCATAACCTGAGAAAATCTACCAAACCATGTCCTGGGAGATTGTTTTAATCCATACAACGCTTTTCTCAATTTACAAACTTTATTTCCTGCTTGCTCATACCCTAGTGGAATCTCCATATAAATTTCCTCTTCTAGATCGCCATGCAGAAAAGTATTTTTAACGTCATATTGTAGCATGTCTCATCCATGATTGACAACAAGAGATAAAAATATTCGTACTGTGTTCATCCTGACAACAGGTGCAAATGTTTCAAGATAATCAACTCCATATGTTTGAGTATATCCTTTAGCAACTAACCGTCCTTTATACCTATCAAGTGTTCCATCTGTTTTATACTTCACAGTATATACCCATCAACAACCTACTGCTTTCTTATCTTTAGGCATAGTAACCAACTTCCATGTTCTATTTTTCTCTAAAGACTGAATTTCAAGATTCATTACTTGTCTCCATTCTTCATGTTGTATTGCCTCCATATATGTTTTTGGAATATTTACCTGAGTAAGATTTACCATAAAACTTCTATACTGACTTGAGAGTTTGTCATAGGATACAAAGTGAGATAATGAATATTGAGTACAAGTTTGTTTTCCCTTCCTCAAAGCAATAGGCAAATCCATATCTGATTCATCATTAGTTGATACTATAATGTCAGACTCATTACTGACATTTTCCTCGTCGATTTCAGTTCCAGAGATAAGTTCAGACTCTTGGACTTGCTTATCTTTTTCAGTGTTCCTTCTTGAATAAACTTGTAATGGCATAGTAGTAGGAGACTTAGATGATCTGTCTACAGATGAAGAAGGTTGGTTGGGGTCAATTCCAGTAGGGTTTGGTATAGGTGATAGTAAAGAGTGTGAAGGAAAAATGAGATTAGGGATAGGTAAATTCTTATCTTTCAACAATATTTCCTCCTCATGAAGATAAGGTGAAGTAAAGAAGTTAGCGTCTTCATGAAAGGTAACATCAGCGGAGATGAAATGCCTTTCAGAAGAAGGATGGTAGCATTTATATCCCTTTTGAGTGTTCGAGTATCCAACAAAAATACATTTGAGTGCTCGTGGATCAAGTTTACCTCGTTGATGACTATGAACGTGAACAAAAACTACACAACCAAATACTCTAGGAATCAAGTTATTTGTTGTGCGGAAGTCAGGGTAAAAATTTGATAGGATATTCATGAGAGTTTTTTAATCTAGAGTAGCAGATGGTAACTGATTGATTAAGTAAGTGGCTGTTAATACAGCTTCCCCCCATAAGGATTTAGGAACATTTCTTTTAAAAAGAAGGGCACGGGTAACAGAAATGATGTGACCCTTTCGGCCACCCCATTTTGTTGAGGAGTTTCCACATAAGACGACTAACTTCATGTTTTTGAAAGAATGATGTTAAGGTTTGGTTGAAATAATCTCGAGCATTGTTAGAATGAATCGTTTGGGTTGGATTCCAAATGGATTTTTGATCATATGGAAGAATGTTTGAATGTTAGAACCAACATCAGATTTTTGTTTTAAAAGATAAACCCATGAAACTCTAGTACAGTCATCAATGAATACAATAAACCAACAAAATTTGGAAGTATTTGGCACATTGGAGGGGCCCCAAACATCACTATGAATAACAGAGAAAGGAACTGAAATTCATTTATTATTGCTAGGAAATGGAACACGCTTGTATTTAGCAAATTCACAAATGTCACACTGAATTGAATCAAAATTAAAATTCTGGAACAAATCTGGAAATAAAATCTTAAGAGATCTAAATGAGGGATGTCCTAACCTATAATGATACAACCGAAAATTATTTAAAGAAGGATGAGTTTGTGAGGAAACTAAGACTTGAACATCTTTTCCAACACAATCTAGACCAATAGGTTCATCAAGATAATAAAGTCCATCTTTTTCTTTAGCAAGTCCAATTGTCTTCCTATTGCTCTGGTCCTGAAAAATACAAGAAGAAGAGAAAAAAGTTAGTTGACATCCCAAATCTTTGATTAAATTTCTTATTGATATCAAATCAACAGTTAAACGGGGTATATGAAGCATATTTTTTAAGATAATGTTTGGATTTATTTGAATGTCTCATTGACCAGCCACTGTTAATAGAGTACCATCTACGGTAGATATTTTTTTATTACTCGGACAAGGACTATAGGAGATAAAATGACAGCTACTCTTTGTCATAGGATCGGTTGTACCAGAGTCAATAGTCCAAGTAGAGAGTTTAGAGAGTGAAGTTGTACCTGAAAAAGCTACCGAACATGTACCTTGATTAGGATTCTTTTTTAAGGTTTCTAAAAAACTTCTTAGCTTTTCAATCTCATCTGTGTTTAGTTTTCATTTTTCAAAACTCTCTTCAGTCACAACGCCTTTCTGACTTGATGAAATGTGAGCTTGGCTATGTTCTTTATTTGCACTACCTTTATTCGACCAATTTTTGGAATTTGAATTCTGATAGTTTGTAGGTTTTCCATGTAGCTTCCAACATTTATCCTTGGTGTGCCCAGGTTTCTTGCAATAAATGCATACTGCACGATCTCTATTTCCTGATTTTCCTTCATCCCAATTGTTAGCTCCTGTATGTGTATAATTTTCTACCTCAATCATTTTAGTACCTCCTGTTTTCATGACTGATCATTCTGTTTGTAGTTCTAGCATAATACTACGACGAGATTCTTCACTTCTAATTACGCCGATAACCTCATTTAGGGATGAGGGATCTTTGCCCAAAATTTGTATTCGAACAGCATCAAATTCTACATTGAGACTTGCAAGAAAAGTATAAATTCGGTCTTTTTTGACAAACTTTTTTAGAGTAGCAGCATCCTTA